TAGACATCAAACACACACACGCAGACATCAAACACACACACAGACATCAAACACACACAAGTAGACATCAAACACACACACGCGCAGACATCAAACACACACACGCAGACAGCAAGGTGAGACACAGTGATCCACGATTCACACGTCCACCCGAGCTTACCTGTATACTGAGTATACCTAGTCTAGATTACTACACCCCACTAGGATATTTGCTATTCCACGTAAATGTCAACATCTCGATGTCAAAAGACACTTTGACATTAGATTTTTGACATTGCTGGGATCGGTCAAACTTGACCAGTTTACATGCGCTGTTTAAGCATGCACACCGAATTATTTTTTAGAATGCCCTATTATAACAACGATTGGCTACAACTACCTGTCAATCATTCAGGTAGATAGCAAGCTAATCTATTATCTAATGATGCTGCGCAATGCCTAAAAGTTTTCATTATTCAGACACGATTTACGATATGCTCATTCCCATTGGTCTCACAAGATAAGTTAGCCACCTGGTGGACAGTAACAAGTGTATCCATCGCCGAACTCGTTTTCCTGGCAGGTGGCGCTGTTTTCGCACGGATTCAGCTCACAAAAGTTGTCGATCACCGTCTCGCACAGACCACCCCTGCAGAGGAAAAATGGATTAATCCATCCGTTGCCATGACGACACTAACATTATGCGCGTTCTATTGACAGGTGCAGGTGAGCGAACAAATGAACGTCGCATTTATGCAAATCTTTTATTACATCTATAGAAATCGTCTGCGAATATCTCAGTGTGTGCCTCACAGTTTTGATGTCTGTGTGTGTGTTTGATGTCAGTGTGTGCCTCACAGTTTATTATGCCTACAAGCCTACTATTAAGCCTTATATCATGGCCGTCCAAAAGGGGGGTGCGATGGGATGGGTGCAGACGCACCCCCTTTTTTTCCAGAGTTTACCCCGGGAATTAGTTATTTAGCCTGCAAGTCAATTCGTTGCGCGAATGTTAGCGTAGGGCCAATATTTTCGAAATTATTTCTGAAATATTGGTCTTAAATTGTGTTCCAAAATGCTCCTGAGCTTCCAGGGCCCTTAAAAGCCGGCCCTAGACCCCGGCTGTGAAAGACTTCGCGCTCGTGATATGGTTCGCGCACATTATTTCACAGAAATTTGTATGTTCTCCTGTCATGCCACCCCGCCTTTTTGAAAAGCTTGGGACGGGCTAGCTCCAAGAAACGGTCTTGCTAGGGTTAGAAGACCGTTATGTATATAGACTGTATAGACAGTCAGTCGCACATCCTCGTCGGGCTTGGGACGGGCCTGTATATATAGCATTGCAGCAGACAATATTAAATCTTGTGAATATTGTAAGTGCTCAGAGTTATTACGATTTTTACATTTTCTTTTGCTACATACTCCGACAGCCGTACAACTACGCAGTTGCTAAACTGATTGTTGTATCGATAATTAAAATAATAAGACCTAGAATACCTAAATACGATTCACAAATACAATTAATATTCACTGCCACATAAACTATCACATCCATCTCATGAAGAGCTCATAATAAAGCTGAAGGGGTCGTTGTCGTATAGTGTACTATACATATATGTACCCGAGGTACGTATACATAAATGTAATATAATGCTAGTCTAGAGAGTCGCCTAC